AAGTCAAATCAATTCAATTTAGAAAAGCCAAAAAGATCCAATGATGAAAAACCTTTTTTCTATATTTCAAAGAGATTGCATCAAATTTTCATTAGTTAGTAGTTACCCATGTGGGCAAAAAAAAAAAAATGGTTGCATTTGCCACTTCATATCTGCTAAAACTTTTTGACAAGCACCAACATTGCCTTTGACTTCGGTAAGGTGCTCTTTCAATCGAGTGATTCCACCCCCTTGTATGAGCTTATCACAATATATGCATTTTGTTTGATTCCTCTTGCCTGGGATAATCAAACAATGAGCCCAAGCAGAATCATCTGTTTTAGAAGGGAGGGACAGATGCAACAGAGTCACCGGTACCAGTACTTGAACCACTAGTATTCATAATGACATCCTACAAAGACAATCACCAAGGAAAAAAATAAAGAATTACAGAACAAAAATTAAATGGAAAATAATAGGGCAAGCCTCTGAATTACACAATAAAAATTAAATGGAAAATAACATGAATAGAAATTGCAAAGAAATATGCCAAGAGAAAAATCAAGAAAATTGCAAGCAAAATGCAGAGAAATAGAAAATGAATAACAATCACCACGGCCAAACACACACACAATCGCCACTACCACACAACTATTTCATCATTCATGAATTGCAATCAACCACACCAGGAGAAAAAACAAATTGCAAAATGCACAAAGAAGAATGCACGGCAGAGAAAAATGCATGCAAATTGCAAAATGCAGAAAAATAGAAAAGAAAAAACAATCACCCACTGCCAAAAACACAAAGTCACCAAACTGTTTCTTGAATCTGAATCAAGCATGCCAAGAGAAAAGCCAGAAAAATGAATGCAAGTTACAAAATACAGAGAAATAGAAAAGCAAGAACAATCACCCACACTGTTACTAGTCAAACCCCTAAGAATCTGTAAGTCTAAATCAAAAAAGAAAAGAAAAAACAATCAAGATTTTCACTCATGCCTAAGAGATGAAGCTACGCTACTGAAGAGTGGTGAAGAGATCGCAAAACAAGAAATGGAAAGAAAAAGCAGTGGCAACAAAGCATTCACCAACCCACCGGTGACAAGTTGAGAATGAGGTTCATCGTTCGTGAGGAAGAAGGAGAACAGAGGTGAGATTTGCAATCTGAAATTACAAGGTGAATTAAAAAGCTCCTAGCCAAAATGACGTAGGGAATCCTTTTTTTTTTTTTTTTAAGTTTGGAT